GGAAACACAATCCTCCCAAGAACAGATGTTCTCGAGAACCAGCATGCCCTTAGAACTTCCAAGAACAAAGCCTTTTATTGGCTTCATTATATAGTCATGCTTGAGGCCTCAACGCATAGTCATGACTGATATATTCATGCATGACTGATTAGTTCAAGCCCCCTCCCTTTCTGAGGTTAGTTAGCAGATATGTGGGGTCTGTGTAGCCCCTACTCATATGCACAAATTCTAAAGTGTTGCCTGCCATTTTTAGATAACAAAGACACCCTGCCTACTCAGGAAATTCCAAGGGTTATGTTTCACGAACCAAAGCCAAAGGCCAAATCAAGTTCTTTGTCTAAGCAGGGCCTGAACAGCCTGGGAGGTCTTGTAAAAGCCTTATGCAGTTTCCTGAGCATCATATACAATGGAAGAGCTGGCAATGTTTTGCTGTCTCCTGAGGTCTCCCGAGAGTGTGGAATGAGAATAACAGGTGGATAGATCTTTCAGGACAACAGAGGCCTCAGCTCTGATGTATAAGAACTGAGAAATGAGGATCAGATGGAATCAAGTACAGAAAGTGAAACCAAGAGGGCAAGAGGACCCACTGAAATAGTCTTCCTCGTCCCTCTCAAAGCCAAGGAACCAAAAGCCTCGCAGGGACCACATAATAGCATGCTGTAGGTTGTAACAGACTTTGCCTTTGTCTCTGCTCTAGCTGGAACAGCACTGGGGGATGAACTCTTACACGTCTGAAGAAAGTACTAAGCGGGGGGGGCAGGCAGGAGAACGAAGAAGAAAAGTTTACTCGGAGACATTACAAGAAATAAACTTGTGTTTTCCCATTTGAGGGGGTTTGCAAACAATATGTACTAACGTGGTTTCTTCTCTAACCATCTGAGGTCTTATCTATGTTCACACCTCGATACAGTCTCACTTACTTGGGTCGTTTACTTTATCCATCTTGTTGACTACAGTCCAGGGCTCTGTCCCCTTCTTCAAAATGGAGATAACATTCATCTCAGAAGGTGAGAGTCCTGCTTATAAGAAAGAAAAAAAGGCATGATATGCTACAGCTTTTCCAAAACAAAATCCAAGCCATGTGTTCAGTTTAGAACATCACAGATGACTCACAGAAAATTATTCCAAAAGTTTTCATCCATCGACTACTTCCTTCAAAATGCTTAAGAAATATATTAAATATGGAGATAACTAGCTCTCTTCCAACAACTATTGAACCAAAAGCACAGGAGGAAAGTTATAGAATTGGATATACTAAAGTAAGCCATAAAGTAACAGTAGAAACTTGAATTGTTGTGTATTTTTGCTGTGTATATTTTCAACCAGAACAAAATAATTTTATTTTAAAAAAAAAAGCTCCTAGTAGAAAAAGCCATTTAGCTGTTTACTCATGTTTGCATTTTAACTATTGTACCTAGATAACTGTGATTAAAAAGTTCAGCTTTTGAAAAATGTGTAATTGTTTTAACAAGAAAGAGATTAAAAACATTACTCACTTATTAAGAAAGGAAAACAAATTAACTTATCCTTTTACCAGCTTTAGCTAACAAGTATTATAAACATTTATCAGAAAATACTTTTCACCAATAAAATAAATTAATAAAATATAGAAAAAAACAAATAAATAAAGTACGCCAGGTTTTGTGCTCACTGAAGCTCTGGAAATAGCTATGTTCTAGTGTGAAACAGGCAGATCATCTGAAGAAAGAAGAAGACTAAAATCCAGATATTGCATTATGAAGCTTTTTATTTCTAAATCAACTTCAATCTTGTCTTAAGAACAGAGATTTCTAAGTACAACAAGCAAAGCAGCGCCTTCCAAGAGACTCACAAGGGAAAATGCAAAGACACACAGGGCCGATCTGGATATCTAGAAGGAAGTTATGCTCACCCAGAGAGACCAGGTTCCTGTAGTTCTCTACCATCATGTCCCTGTACAAAGCCCTCTGAGCAGGGTCCAGGCATTCCTACTCCTCCTGAGAGAATTCTATGGCCACATCCCTGAACGTTAACAGTCCCTGCAATAGAAAACACATCTCACCAAGTGCATAAGAAAAAGTTCTAATTCTCAAGAAAATGATAGAAAAAACGTATACAAATCAATTCTGTTGATGTGAGCATTTTCACAGATCCATATAAGATAATGTTATGCAAGTTATATGCCCCTAATTTTGTTTTGTCGTATTTTTCCACCAGAGGATATGAAATCCTTTCAATTATTTTTTTGTGGGCAATAAAAGAAAGGAACTTGCCTCAGTTCAAACTGCTAATAACTGGCAGAGCCAGCACCTGAACACAGGTGGACAGGCTTCAGCATTGAATCTAAAGAATCAAACAGTTAAGTAACAGATACAGCATTGAAAGGATGTTCACGAAGGGATTCTAAACAGCTCTAAGGAAACCTGTGTGGTACATTATGTAGGACATGTCCACACTCATCAGAATAACCCACTTGCAAGGCTGGAAATTAGCTGGAGCTTGCAAGTAGATATCCTGATATGCTTGTTTTAGGTGATACCTGGGTCCAGGAAATGAATGGAAATGGAGGTGGTACAGCAATGCAGAAATGGACTGAATCTAGACATATTCCTCTTTCACCCACTGAGGCACAAAGTGCCAATAAAAATTGTTCTGTCTGCCAGCAAGAAAGACTTAGACTGGAGATGGCTGTGGGGCAGATTCCTAGGGGGAAGGCCCTACACATAGCTGGCATGTCAGACCAATGCAAGTACTCACAGTACTACTGAAGAACCAGAACAGAAGATTTTGTGTCAATTTGGACTGCTCGGTCATGCTTCTTCAGACAAAGGAACATGCTTTTATCTTCAGAGTAACAGTTTGATAGAAAATTGGAACAGGGAATTGAAACATTGCTTCTCTAAAAGATAAAGGCATGAAGGGCTGGCTTACACTTTCACAAGTGTGTGCTCACACACAATATGAGGACGGAAAGGGAGAATCTCTCATGGACAGATTCCTCTGACTTTTTTGTTAGATCTGGGGAAGAAAGGATGGGGGAGAATACTGGTATGACTATACAATTCCTCCCCATATCACTTCAATTCTTGTCTTTTCCCCACATAACCTCAATTTTTTTCCCATTGTCTGATGCTATGGTCCAGGACCTGGGCTGCAACCAGGGTGAATAATGTAAACAGGGATGATTCCTAAGCAAAAACTGTAACTATGACTGTGAGTGGACCGACAGGGAGGCACTTACCAGAGTAGCACTGCTGCTGGCAATCTATACCAGTACAGTGGCCGCACTGAAAGTCCCTTCCGAAGATGGAAATATTTGTATATAAACAGATAAAAGGAAAAAGAGTAGCTGTGTGTAAATGAATGAATGAATGTGTTACACAATGACGGAAATAAAAAAATTACATTAACGCCTTGAAAGAGACTTAGAGCAAGAGATGATATTGCTCCTTAGCTCAATTATACAGTATCTGAAAGGGAGACCAGACAGACCATTCCTGCTTTTGGAACCTGACAAGATCAGACAGAAGCATGTTGTAAATCTGCAAGCCTGGGAGTAGTTTTACAACATGATGGGATGATGGACGGAGGCTAATGACTAAAGCCTAATGACTGGGACTCTGACAATATATCAGTTTCTTTTGACTCTTATTTTTGGATTATGGTGTAACACTGGCACTGCTGAATAATGATATTGATGGTTAAACGTATTGGGAAACTGAGTTGCAGCCTCCTCCACATGTAATAAGGGAACTGGCCTAAGGAAGAACTAGACGGAGATAAACGTACAAACAATGGTAATGAGAGGAGAGGAAAAGTAATCCTCCAAATGTTAGACATATAAAAGAAACCTATGGCCAAAGGCCAGCAGATGGTTGTAAGGTAATGAATCAACTTTTGTTGTTGGGTGCCGAGTGGATTCTGACTCATAGTGACCCTATATGAGAGAGTGGTACTGCCCCATGGTGTTTCCTAAGCTGTAATCTTTATGGGAGCAAATCACCAGGTCATTTCTGTCAGACAGCTGCTGGTGGGTTTGAATCACTAACCTTTCAGTAAACAGCCAACCCCTTAACAACTGCACTACCAGGACACTTTATTCCTGACAGATAAACCCATTCAATTTCCTGAGTAAATGAGGTGCCTTTATTATCTAAAACCTGAGGAGGTTGCTGCTGGTGTCTGATGCGTTGGGCAGACTTGGCAGTCTGGACAAGCCTTTAATCTCTGAGATGTGGCCTAGCTCCAGGAGGTTGGGATCAGAGTAAGAAGTGCCAGATGTGCAGCCAGTGTCAGAACAGAAAAGAAACAGAAATGATAGGAGACTGCTTTGCATTGATCAACACATTTGCAATCAGAGAAACGAGAACTGGGATTTGAAAATTTTCCCAGCAGATGTGCTGTGAATGATTTAAAGAACCTCATACTGTAGACATTTAGGTGGATTCCGTATTTTAAATCTGATTACAGAATAAAGCATCACTGATGGCTGTTATGAAACTTTCCATTCCATTCTAAATCAGTATTTTGGAACCAAAAACACACCAATTCCCATGTTGAGTTTCAAATTTATTATAAAATCAAGCACAGCAGGTTTCCCATCATAAATCTTCTTCAGGATTTTCAGCTTTTCCCACAGATTAATATGGCACATAAATGTGTGGTTTCTTTAATGCTGGTCCACAGAGAGCTCACACGGCTTCCAGATGTGAACCCAAAACCTTCCCTGCTACCCACACTAACTGCTCCAATGGAGCCTCTTCCTTTCTCCTAAACAGGCCTGGTATGAAGCCCTTCCCATGATGCTCCCCGAATGCAGCCTTTTCACAAGTCCCATGTCACTGGGTTGCACCATGAGATGGAATCTGCATGAAGGTGAGGGAGGACAGAAAGAAGGCCAATGACGGGTGCAAGCAAATATGTCAGGCAGGACACGTCAGAGTCAGAGGAGATCAGCAAATTCTCAGGACAGCATTTCAGGAAGGAGACAGGAACCAACCAAGACTATGACTTGCCTGGGAAATAGCCATTCTGGATGCCTCTTTCTTTACTCCTCTTCCTCCTGGCTTCATTCTCAGGCAGGATGAGTATTGAGAGGTCAATCCTGCGTATTGAAAATATGCTCTTAGAATCAGCACACCTCTTCCTGTGCCACAACCACACACACAGGAAGGACCTCACCTGGGGAAAGACAGTCCCTGCTGCCCACTGCCCCAGGAAGGACTCAGGGACAATAACCTTCTACATGGAGACCAACAGGTGAGTTTATCACCCTCCCCTCCTGGTGGAACCCAGACTCTGCTGCAGCAGGGGGATGAGGGGTGCACTGATCCCCCTACATTCAGGTCCCAGACCAGCACTGATACCACACGCCGTGCACAGCAGAGCCTTCCCACCTCCACTGGATCAGGGACTAGTTTCACCCTCCGAAATGGAGGGCCCAGAGCCTTGGTGCTCATGGCTGCATGCAGATTAGAATCACCTGGGGCACTTTAACCATCCTTGAGCCTGTACATCACCCAGAAGATTTCATGGGGAATCGCTGAGGAAGGTCACAAGTGATGTATTTGCAAAATGCGTCAGCAATCCAGTGTGAAGCCAGGACTAAGCTGGCTCAGAGGAGGCAAGGCCAGCACACACACCTTCCACCTGTGGCTCTGCTCTGCCCAGGGACCATGATGTCACATGGATCCAACCAGTACAAGGGCAGGAGCAGAGAGAAACTTGCAGAACACCTACCATAGGCCAGGGGTTGGGGGTGAGGGTGTGGCTGAAATGTTAAATGCGAGTCAGAGAAGACTGCCCTGGAAAAAAAACCAAACCAAACCCACTGCCATCGAGTCAATTCCGACTCATACCGACCCTATAGGACAGAGTAGAACTGCCCCATATGGCTTACAAGGAGCACCTGGTGGATTTGAACTGCCGATCTTTTGGTTAGCAGCCATAGCTCTTAAACACTACACCACCAGGGTTTCCGGACTGCCCTGAGAAGGTGATATTAGAACAAAGCACCAAGGAATAAAGGGTGTGTAACAGGTACCAGCGAGGGACCAAGGAGATTCAGGCAGAGGGACCAACCATGTGAAGGCCCTAAGGCAGTAGTGATTCTGGTCCCCGGAAGAGGCTTGTATGGCTAGAGCAGAGGAAGTGAGCAAGGAGTCAAGTAGGACATGAAGTCTCAGAGGTCCTAAGGAAGCAGACTGGAAAGGGCCTGGGGTCCTCAGCTGTTTTTCTTCCACACCACAAGAGTATTTTGGAAACCATGTATTTCTTCAATCATTTTAAGATACAACCTAATGTTTTCTTCATTTTATCCTAAAGTTAAATACTTACAAATAAGGTACTGTCTTGTCTATTTAAAAAAAAAAAAATCCCCTGGGGAAACCAGCACAACTTGTATAAGGAAAGGTCATGAAAGCTCCATAGATACATCCAAACTCCCTGTGGGACTGAATTGCTGGACGGAGGGCTGTGGGGACCATGGTCTCAGGGAACATCTAGCTCAACCAGCATAACACAGTTTATAAAAAAAATGTTCTACATTCTACCTTGGTGAGTAGCGTCTGGGGTCTTAAAAGCCTGTGAGCAGCCATCTAAGATACTCCACTGGTCTCACCCCTTCTGGAGCAAGGGAGAATGAAGAGAACAGGATACAAGGAAAAGATCAGTCCAAAGGACTAATGGACCACAGCTACCAAGGCCTTCACCAGACTGAGTCCAGTACCGCTAGATGGTGCCTGGCTACCACCACTGACTGCTGTGACCTGGATCACAACAGAGGGTTCTGGACAGAGCTGGAGAAAGATGTAGAACAAAATTCTAACACACACAAAAAAGACCAGATTTACTAGCCTTAAAGAGACTGGAGAAACCCCGACAGTATGGCCCCCAGACACCCTTTTAGCTCAGTGGTGAAGTCACTTCCGAGGTTCACCATTCAGCCGGTGATAGGACAGCCCCATAAAACCAAATGGGACTAACGAGGCACAGCAGTCCAGGGACAAGGACTAGAAGGCAGAAGGGGACAGGAAAGCTGGTAATAGGGAACCCAAGGTTGAGTAAGGACAGTGCTGACATGTAGTGGGGCTATTAACCATTGTCATAGGGCAACATGTGTACTAACTGTTTGAGAAACTATTTTGTTCTGTAAGCCTTCATCTAAAGTGAGAATAGCAGCACAACTGGAAGAACGTAATCGATGTCACTGAACTGTGCATGTAGAAATTTTTGAAATGGTGTATGTTTGGCTATGTATATTTTCACCAAAAATAAAAAAAAGTCAAGAAGGGAGAGTGTTGACGTGTCATGGGGTTGTTAACCAATGTCATAAAACAATATGTGTACTGACTGTTTAATGAGAAACTATTTGTTCTGTAAACCTTCACCTAAAGTACAATAAAAAAAAAAAACCCAAGATATTTATTGGAGCCCCAGGAGGTTGGAGCAGCCCTTAACTGAGACCTGGAGGAGTGCAGGGGAAATATGTTTAGGGTTTAAGGTGGAAGAGATGCCTGTGAGAGGTCCCAGCAGACACTTCCAGGAGCCAGCTGGACGCATGAGTTTGGAGTTCAGGGGAGAGGTCTGACTGGAAGTAAAAATGGGAGATGTCAGGGTGTTTAAAGCTGGATGACATGGAAAGGCCCTGGGTATAGACAGAGAAGAGAAGAACAAGGACTGCACCCTCGGGTGCTCCCTCTTTCAGAGACCAGGCAGTTCAGGAGAAACCAAAGGAGGAAACTGAGATGTGATCAGGAAGCAAAGTCAAATATGAAAGAAATACACAGACAGGCAGATATTTAAAGAATACTGCAATGTCCTGAAAACCAAGAAGAATGTTTTTCCAAAGAAAGGGAGTGATCAACTGTGCAAGATGCTGCTGACTGAATCAGGGTTCAGCTTAGGAAAGAAGCTCTGAGTAAATTTCTTCATCATGAATAGATGGGCTCTGTTGGAACAAGGTTCCAAGCCAATCCACACAGCCTCTAACATTTGCACAGAAAGGACAAGAGGGACAAGAGGACATCTACTTATAGCTCAAAGCTCACTATTTTAACAGATCACACAAGGGAAGAAAATTGAGTATTTGATTAACTGCATAAGATAGGTTTCTATATAAAATACAAAAGATCACTGACATCCCTACAAAGTATACACTGAAATAGTCTAACATTATTACTAGGTACCAAAGAATGTTCCCAATACATGACAAAAAGTAGAAAGCATGCAGTTCTAATAGTCTGAACCTGACCTAGTAAATTTCAAAGGAAAAACAATTTTGGAAAAAAAAATTAATGACAGCTAGCGTCAAAGTTGGAAGCCTTGGTGTAGTATCAATTAAGCACTGGGCTACCGACCAAAAGGTTGGTTTGAGAATGTTCATGCACCGTGAAGAATGTAATCAATGTCACTGGACAACTTGTGTAGAAATTGTTGAATGGGAACCTAAACTGCTATGTAAACCTTCACCAAAAACACAATAAAATATTATTTAAAAAAAAAAAAAAGTTTGGCGGTTCCAACTCACCCAGCAGCTCCACTGGAGAAAGACCTGGTGATCTGCTTCTGTAAAGATTACAGCCAAGTTAAACTTATGGGGCAGTTCTACATTTTCACAAGGGGTCGCTATGAGTCAGAATTGACTCTATGGAACCCAACAACAACAATGATTATTTAGAGAAAAGTTGAAATTCAATAAACTAAGTTAATCACAATAATGCTGGGAAAAAACCAATGTAGTATGAAAATAAGAGTAAATCCATTAAAAAACAACAGAAAAAAAAAAACACTTTTAATGTTCATTTGAAAGGGCACCCTGTAAGGACAGAGACTCTCCTGGAGGGCAGAGAGAGGGTGAAGCCAAATTGACTGAGACAAGTAACTGCCCTCTAGCTGAATAGCAGTTGTAATAGGGGTTATCCTTTGATGCAAGTAATATTAAAACGAACAACCCTTATAGACAGGAGTTTTTGTCCTTTCATTCTCATCTGTGTGATTTAAACAAATTTTACACTACAAAGCCACAAATATATTACAATTTAATCAACAATATCCCATCAACTCACCACTCATCTGGATCTGAGTCCCCTCTTTCTCCATGACTATGTGTTTCCCACTTTCACTCTTAATGCTATTTGTCCTTCTGGCTTTCGTTTTCTCTTGCTCCTTTTTTAATGCTGTGTTTCCTCCTCAGTTTCTGCTCATTTTGTTCTCCACTATCTCCTCTCTAGTTGTTTCTCCCCTTCTGTCTAGTCCTCCTCCTATACCTGTTCAGCCCCACTCCATTTTACTTTGTTGCTCTGTCTCCCCAACCTCTCTGATTGTACCTCATCTTCATATATTTCTCTCTTCGCATCTCTGTCCCCCTCTACTGTTAAGCTCCCTTTGTCCCCACTCCCTGGCATCCCCAGCTTGCTGAGTTCCCTCCCTGCTGTTTCTCCCTCTGATCTCCATGTCACCCCTTGCAGATCGATCTGTCCCTCCACCAAGTCACTGTCTCTAATGGTTCCAACTCTTTTACCTCTGTCCCCTTCTACCCCCACTCTGTTGAAATGCCTTCCCCTTTGTCTCCCCACTCCTAGTACTATGGGCCCTCTCCTCTTTGTTCCCCTCACTCTTGGATGATCATCCTTTTTTCCAGTTATATCTATTTTCTCTTTTCTCCTGCTACTTTTCTGTTTATTCTCTTTCACTGTCAAAGTTTCTTTGCAAGTCCTTCCCCAACCCTCCATTTTCCCATCTGTTTATGGTTTTCCATAATGTTTGTTTTCTAACTTTCGATATTTGCAGTTCACTCACAGTTGCTCTCTGTGTCTTTCTCTCAATCCTCTCGCCCACACGTGCACAGGGATGGAATGAGATGCCTGCTGCCCAGGAAAAGCACTTTCCAAGGGGTGGGATCGGGGATGGAAGAGCACGGGATGCCAAAAGACAGTCCCAGATCTCCTCTACCGACACCGGTTTCAGGGAGAAAGCGGTGACTGTGAACGGGAAGTCGAAAGAACAGCATGGCCAGACAAGAAGACGACACGAGGTTGAGCTCTCAGGAGAGGGTGGCGTCTCAGAGTCCCAGAACCAGGAGAGGACGGGAGGCCCGCGCTGCCCTCCAGGGGCGACACTGAGGGGGGAGGGAAGGGATGTAGCCAGAGACTCCCCCGGCAAGGACTTGACTCGGAGCAGGGCGGGCGGGGTTCAGGGAAGGGTTTTTAGCAGGAAAACGACGCAGACGGCGGCGTCTGCACGACCCCAGGGCAGAAAGGCCGGGGCGGGGACCGCCTCAGCGCAATTTTACACGGAAACGGACGCGGACGCCCTGCCGGCGGTGGAGCGACCAGGGCTCGTAACCTTTCACGGCCGCACTGGGATCTCAGCGGGGTGGGAAGCGCAGGTGCGGGGACTTTAATGTCCAGAGCGACCCCCGGGCCGGGTGTGGAGAACCTGGACAGCGAACACCTGGTTTAAACCAGAAAGAGGGCAACTCACTCACCTTTATTTCTCTCAGAGCAACTGGCTTCCTCGTCTGTACACTGCGCAGGCGCCCGCCGGAAAAGACGAGCGACATGGGGGCGTGGCCGGGGCGGGGCTAGGAGAGAGACCAGTTCCGGCGGGGACGCAGCGGGTGGGCAGGGCCGGGGCTTTTCTCCGCCTCGCTTCCGGTAGATCTCCGTTTCGGGTTTTAAAACTTTGGATGTGTTTAGTCTGTGCAGAAGAGGTGCTCTCTACCTATTTAGTTTCATGTTTCAGACAGTTTAAGGAAAAACCAAGAGGGTGGGGACCACTTAAACATTGGAAACTGCGTTGTTTTTCTCTTAATTTTAAATCAGTTTAAGTTGAAACTTTTACAAGCTGGTGGAGATACCTTTCCTAGCATAAGGGTGACGGGACTCAGGGGTATGGGCCTGAGACCTTGAAAAGGGGAGATGTGCAGAAGTGGTTGGCCCCAGGAACCGCTCCGGATATTAGAATTTAAGCCATTTAATTAGGAAAGAACTGAAATTGTCAGTGGAGATCCAAACTAAAATGTAAAATGCAAAACTGCCTGTGCTAATGTGTAGTTTCATCCTGACACCCTAAGAGTGCATCATTTCCATTTCTATCCCTTATGAACCAGGGAGACAGAGACTCATCCTGTGATTCGTAACTGAGACTTTCTCTGGGCCAGACTTGGGGTAGGGACCTGAGACAAACAGATGCGGTAATTCGGGTCACCAGCCTTTGCTTATAAAATACCAGTAAGGGCTAAGGTAAAAAAACAAAACAAAACGGAAAATAGTGAATATTGGCAAGAATGTAGGGAACTGGAATTTTTGTCTCTTGCGGTGTGGACGCAAAATTGTACAGAGTAGTGGAAAACTCTGGGAATTCTCAAAAATCTAAAAATAGAACAACCATATGTCCCAGAAATCCCACTGTTTGGAGTTAAGACAGTGCCTCGTGGATGAGGCCTGGGCAAAGCCAGATGGCAGAAACTAAAACAAAAAAGCATTGCCAATCAATTCAGTCCGACTGATGGCACCCCAGTGTGCGGCAGAGAATGGCTGTCTAAGGTTTGTATGGCTGCGACCTTTGGGGAACAGATCACCAGGCCTGTCTTCCTGGGCACCCTGGGACATGAAAACCCTTGAATGTCTTTGGGATCCTGTGAAGAAGGCTTGCTCTCTGCCTATATTTAAGTTACTGATTCATACAGTTTAAGGTAAAAGCTTAGAGTTGTGTGTGACTGCTTACAAGCTATGATGTTTTCCTCTTGACAAGTTGAAAATGGCTTAATTTGAAAGGTATTTTCTGTGAGTTGGTGCAATGAGTGCAGAAGCTACTCAGGGTGCAGAGACTGGGTGGGGGGAGGTCTGATGTGCGGCGGTGGTTGGATCCAGGAAAGTTTCCTCCAATGACAATTTAAGTAATTAAAAAAAATTTATTTTTTCCATACAAAAATTTGTACATACATTGTTATGTGACTCTAATGGCTCTCCCCATACTGTGACAGCACAATTCTCCTTTCCACCCCTGATTCCCCATGTCCATTCAACCAGCTCCTAACCTTCTCTGCCTTCCCATCTCACTTCCAGAGAGAAGCTGCCCATTTAGTCTCTTGTATCTACCTGAGCTAAGAGGCACACTCCTCACGAGTATCACTTTATGTCCCACAGTTGAGTCCAATCCCTGTATGAAGAGTTCGCCTTGGAAATTGTTTTAGTTCTGGGCTGATAGAAAATCAAGGGGCCATGCTTTCTGGGGTTCCT